GCATTTAACTGTTTTTTGGTTCCCCACCCCCGCCCCCCAGACGGAGTCTCACTCTGTCGCCCAGGCTGAGTGCAGTGGTGTGTTCTCAGCTCACTGCAGCCTCTCCCCCCTCTCCCCCCGGGTTCAAGTGATTCTCTTGCCTCAGCCTCCCGAGTAGCTGGGATAACAGGTGTGCAGCACCACTCATGGCTAATTTTTGTATCTTTAGTAGAGATGGGGTTTCACCATGTTGGCCAGGCTGGTCTTACGCTATTGACCTCAAGTAATCTGCTCGCCCCAGCCTCCCAAAGTGTTGGGATTACAGGTGTGAGCCACAGCACTTGGCCTTAACTGTTTTAAAAAATAATTTTTACCTTTAAATCTTTGAATAAAGATTTGCTCAGTTAAGAAGATGTGCTGTGTTTTTTCTGTGGCTTTTTAGGTGCCTCTGATGACTAGCCAATGCCCTTAATTAACAGTGAAAAGTAAATTCCCTTACACTGAAACAAGTATTGTTAACAGTTTGTTACACAGCTTTTAATAGGCACAGTATGTATGTCTATGCTTGTTTTGTTTTGTTTTGGAGAGGAAGGCTTGCTTTTGTCTGGGCTCACTGCATCCTCTGCCTCCTGGGTTCAAGTGATTCTCCTGCCTCAGCTCCTGAATAGCTGGGATTACAGGCACCTGCCACCATGCCTGGCTAATTTTTGTATTTTAAGTAGAGATGGGGTTTCACCATGTTGGCCAGGCTGGTCTTGAACTCCTGATCTCAGGTGACCTGCCCACCTCAACCTCCCAAAGTGCTGGGATTACAGGCGTGGGCTGCCTAGCATTTCAGGTTTTAGCAGCCACCACTAGAGATAGTGTAATACAGCTTGGTATGGGTCTTTTTATGAAATCTCTTTTGGCCGTTGGTTTAATTGGCCACCTCTGCAGTCATTAGCTTCTCTGGGTCTCTCTTTTTCATCTGTGTAATGATGGGTTTGGTAAGTAGTCAAAGGAAATATCTTCATTTTCTTTCCTTTTCTTTCTTTCTTTTTTTTTTTTTAAGATGGGGTTTTACCATGTTGGTCAGGCTGGTCTTGAACTCCCGACCTCAGGTGATCCGCCCACCTTGGCCTCCAAAGTGCTTGGATTACAGGTGTGAGCCACCGCGTCCGGCCATCTTCATTTTCTTATAAGAAGGGTGAAGGAAGTATGTATGTATTTGTGTGTATAGACCTGGTATACATTACACAGTTGTATACATTTTTGTGTATATGTCTAGAAAAAAATCTCTCTCTCTCTGTATATATATATGTATCTATTTGTATCTCCAGCCTCAAGAAACGGCAGTTCATTGCCAGTCTTGTTTCCTTTTTTTTGGAGACAGAGTCTTGCTCTGTCGCCTAGGCTGGAGTGCAGTCAGTCGCACAATATCAGCTCACTGCAAGCTCCGCCTCCCGGGTTCAAGTGATTCTTCTGTGTCAGCCTCCTGAGTAGCTGGAATTACAGGCATGTGCCACCATGGCCAGCTAATTTTTGTATTTTTAGTAGAGATGGGGTTTCACCATGTTGGTTACGCTGGTCTCAAACTCTTGACCTTGTGTTCCACCTGCCTCGCCCTCCCAAAGTGCTGGGATTACAGGTGTGAGCCAATGCATCTGGCCAGTCGTTTTATTTTTATCCTCACCAAAGCAAATTCTGGATGTTTTATTTCATTCATAAATATACTTGACAGATAAGGATCTCAAAAAAATACACTTTAAGGTATTTATTTAATGTGTAATTTTGGCAGTTTTTATGTTCTGGCTTTTGAATAGACAGCTTAATACAGTATAAACAATGTAGAACTGCCTGGTTCTTTTTAACAACTACATAGTATTCAGGTGTGTGGGCATTTGTAATTTAATGAGTTTTTTATTGATTGGTATTTATATTGTTTATGAAAGCAAAAACCAGGAAACAGTATTGTAGTGAGTTTCTTGTTATTTCTAAATACTTATAAATGAAACTGCTGGCTTCAAGACTTCAGTCCATTTCTTTCACATGCACATTTTTAGTTTTAAAAGATATTACCAAATCTTAACCTGTTAAATTATATTAAAACCTATAGGAGGCTGGGCAAGGTGGCTCACGCCAGTAATGGTAGCACTCTGGGAGGTCGAGGCAGGAGGATTGCTTGAGCCCAGGAGTTCAGGACCCACCTAGGCACCATAGTGAGACCCCATCTGTTAAATAAACAAACAAACTAGGTGTGGTGGTGCATACCTGTAATTCCAGCTACTGGGGAGGCTGAGGTGGGAGGATAACTTGAGGCCTGGAGGTCTCCGAGGCTGCAGTGAGCCTTGATCACACCATATTGCAACATGGGTGACAGAATGAGACCCTGTCTTGGGGAAGAAAACCTATTGGGGTAGCATTAAAAAGTATACAGTGAATCTGTCCCTGTAAAGCATCCCTGTCACCTGTATTTGATGATACTGAGATTTGTAAATAGCTTTTCATTAATGTAGATGTGTTTTGTGGAAGTAATTTTTTTTGCTTGGCATAGAGTATACATTTTGCCAGTGTTTTTTTATAAGTACTGAGGGAATTAATCAAAATACCAGTTGGAATCATATTTGTATCTCATTTGGAAAGGTTAAAAGAATGTTTCTGATAGTAAAAATTAAAGGCAACAAAAACGAATTCTCCACGTACAAGATGAATAGTTAGGCTAAGGATTTATTACTGGCTGATATGCATAAATAGCCACTGTTAGCCATTTAACTAATACATCAGAACTACTGCTAAAAGTTCCTTGAGGCTATATGGCTTTTAGGATTAGAAAAAAGAACAGAAATAGCCAGAGAAACCTGATCCTGAGGACAGGCTTCTAGATAGAACTAGCATACGTTATGGGCATCCCTGTCCCAGATAAATACAAATGCTGATGGAAGGTTTTTATTAACTGTTCAATTGGTTTAGGTTTTACTAAGTATTTTTTAATTTAAGCATCTTTATTTGAAAAGCCCATAATACCACTAAGGATGTGGCTGAGTCATTTATATGCCATTCTGATTGGATTCAGTTGCTTAACCCTGCTGAAATTTCTCATGAGTTTACAATTTTAAGGAACTTGGTTGCCTAAGGAAAGATCAGTAGAAGACATGAGAGCTATATACTGAAAAGGTAGGAGAGGAAATGTCTGATATTTAAACGTTAATTTCTTCACAACTTAAAATAATTATAGTTCTTTCAAGATTGATCATATACCATTGATTAACCACATATCTGTTATTTATTAACTTTTATATTGATACCATTCATGTTTTTATCATTTTACTTATTTTTACAGATAAAGTAGAGAATTTTCATGAAGAACATGAAAAGAACAGTCACCGTATTCACAAAAATGCTGACGACAATACTAAGAAGCCCAGTGCAGAAACTACAGTGGCTTCTGAAATCAAGGAAACAAATGATACTTGGAACTCCCAGTGTGGGAAAAGGCCAGAATCGCCATCAGAAATATCTCCAATCAAGGGATCTGTAAGAACTGGTTTATATGAATGGGATAATGATTTTGAAGATATCAGATCAGAAGACTGTATTTTAAGTTTGGATAGTGATTCTCTTTTGGAGATGAAGGACGATGATTTTAAAAATCAATTGGAAAATCTGAATGAAGCCATTGAGGAGGATGTTGTACAAAGTGTTCTTAGGCCAACCAATTGTAGGATGTACTGTAGGGCCAATAAAGCGAAATCTTCCCAAGGAGCGTCGAATTTTGATAAGCTGATGGACGGCAGCAGTCAGGCCTTAGCCAAAGCAAACAGTGAATCGAGTAAAGATGGCCTGAATCAGGCAAAGAAAGGTGGTGTAAGTTGTGGGACCAGTTTTAGAGGGACAGTTGGACGGACTAGAGATTATACTGTTTTACATCCATCTTGCTTGTCAGTTTGTAATGTTACTATACAGGATACTATGGAACGCAGCATGGATGAAATCACTGCATCCACTCCTGCAGATTTGGGAGAAGCTGGTCGTCTCAGAAAAAAGGCAGATATTGCAACTTCTAAGACCACTACTAAATTTCAACCTAGTAATACTAAATCCAAAAAGGATGTTAAACTTAAATTTTTCGGTTTTGAAGATCATGAGACAGGAGGTGATGAAGGAGGTTCTGGAAGTTCTAATTACAAAATTAAATATTTTGGCTTTGATGATCTCAGTGAAAGCGAAGATGATGAAGATGAAGACTGTCAAGTGGAAAGAAAGACAAGCAAAAAAAGAACTAAAACGGCTCCATCACCCTCCTTGCAGCCTCCCCCAGAAAGCAATGATAATTCCCAGGACAGTCAGTCCGGTACTAATAATGCAGGTAAGAATTCAAAAATATGTATAATAAGTACAGTAGTCCCCCCGTATCCACAATTTCACTTTCTATGGTTTCAGTTACCCAAGGTCAACCACATTCTGAAAAGAGGTGAGTACAGTATAAGAAGATAAAGTCCTCATTCACAGAACTTTTATTATAGCATATTGTTATAATGATTCTGTTTTATTCTTATTGTTAATCTCTTACTGTGCTTGATTTATAAATTAAACTTTATCATAGGTATGTATATGAAAAAACATAGTATGTACAGGTTTTGGTGTACTATTCCATGGTTTCAGGCATCTACTAGGGACTGGCATGTATCGCCTATTGATGGCAGGGGGACTACTTTAAGTGTGCTTTTCAGGCTTAAATTAACAGCTTCATAGTTTCTTCCTACTCAATTTTAGGTTGTTATGTTTATTAAAAGTACCTGTTGAGAACTGCAGATTACCTTATTCAGAGGTACAGCATTTTAAGTGTTAATGATCAAATTGGTTGTAAGGAACCAATTTGTAAATTGGAGAGTCTTCATATTTGAGTTTTAATTTAACCTTTAGCACTTGAGAATTTTAAAGCATATAGGTATATGGGGCAGGGGCATCAGACATCATGATGTTTTCATTTTGACAAATCCAAATGCAGTGAAGACATAGGTTAGGTTTTGGACCTTTGGACTATACTGATAACAGATGGTTATAATGAGGGAAATAACAGATTAGAATTAAAAAACCCTTTGTGGTTGAATACTGATAAACATTCAAAATACCCTCAAACCCTCTTAAGTTGGTTCAGTAAAATTGAAGAGTGCCAGGTAAGTATGCATTCACTCTTAGCTATGGAAATTTAATTTGTGGGAGATTGTAGACCCAGTAATGATGAAAGGTCCTCTAGGAGTTCAGTCTCCACTGTGAGAGCGAGACAAAAGAAATGGGTTAGCTCTGCTATAATTAAGTCGTTACCTTACAAGAACTTTATGAAGTGGATCGACTGTCTAGTGAGGAAGAATTTGTGGAAGCCTCTGGGATACATGGTTTTTTAACCAAATACAGTTTTTCTGGATTGGTTTACATATTAAGTAAAGCTTTTGTCCTGATAGGGCCACAGAAGTGTCATTATGGTAAATTAGAATTATAATAGCATTTAAAAATAGAGATTCTCTTGTAGAGTATAAGTCATTCTTGAGATTATCTACCATTTTGCTTTATTTGGCCTAAAAATAGTTTTGTTCAATTTATTCTTCAAAACTAGAAATACACAGGAGTACCCCAGGGGCTCACCCCTACCCTCCCTCCCCTCCAAAAAAAGGAATACATCCAGTGTTATCTTTGAATCCTTTCTGGATAATGGAAGTTTGCAGCAGCCTTACTGTGTCTTGAGATCTGGCTGGGCAGAATAGCTAGACGTTTGGTTCCTCAGGAGAATGATAAATGCTGCTATACAATACCGGTGCCCTTGTCCTGCTACAGTTTACTGAGCTTTTATTCTGACTTGGATAGCAAGTTATCCTCGTCTGCAATTGAAAATCTGTGGCTGAAATTTACACATTGGGTAGTAAAACTTTTAAAGCTTTAAAATGTGAAATTAGACTCCTTTTGAGAAACTTAAAGTAGATAATAAATAACATTTGAAAATTAGAGGCCATTTGGTTGATCTACTGAAAGTTGAAATTTCAGTCTTCATACCATATGTGAAACAGCAAAAAATTTTAAGCATTGGGATAGAGAAAAGTCTTCCTATTTTCCTTTTTTTGTTTAGCTTAGATAAAGATACATATTTTTAACCAGTTGGGAAATAAGCTGATTCTTTGGTTAGTTGTGTTTGAAGACTGACAAATCATTAAACTTTGTTGTATTAGGTCATTTAAAATCTCTTGCCAAGGATAACTGTTCTTGTTTTCTGGTGTTTTTTTTGTTTTGTTTTGTTTTTTGAGATGGAGTTTCGCTGTTGTTACCCAGACTGGAGTGCAATGGCACGATCTCGGCTCACCACAACCTCCGCCTTCTGGGTTCAAGCAGTTCTCCTGCCTCAGCCTCCCAAGTAGCTGGGACTACAGGTGCGCACCACCATGCCCAGCTAATTTTTGTATTTTTAGTAGAGACAGGGTTTCACCTTGTTGACCAGGATGGTCTCGATCTCTTTGACCTCGGGATTCACCCACCTCGGCCTCCCAAAGTGCTGGGATAATAGGCATGAGCCACCGTGCCTGGCCTTTTCTGGCGTTTTCACTGTGGCTTTTATAGTTGCCAACAGGCATTCTTTGAAGGCCAACATGATTTAGTGGATTTAAAGTTCCTAAAAAATGCTACAGGTGGATACCACATGATGTTTTGTATATATATAAACTAGACCTTTCCAGTGTCAGTATCCATAGATATCCAGCGGTTATGTGATTTCTCGAAAGTAAGAAAATTACTTTGGAAAAGATTAAATTTTGCCATTTAACATAAAATAGGACTAGAACACATAGACAGCAACCAGGTTTATGATATCTCTTATGGAAGGGACAAGCAGGAAGGGAGAAGAATAGCAGAATGAAACTTCCTATTCTGGGGAGTATTTTGTCAGCTCTGTGGTGCTCTGATTCCTTTATACTTTAATTCCCATTTTCATTCATTCATATATATTTAATCTTCATGGGTTGTCTGGTAGGTAATTTGAAATGTTAGTAAGCTAGACAGTTTTGGTTACCATTTCAGAAAACTTGGATTTTATAGAGGACTTGCCTGGTGTGCCTGAAAGTGTGAAGAAACCCATAAATAAACAAGGAGATAAATCAAAAGAAAACACCAGAAAGATTTTTAGTGGCCCCAAACGGGTAAGTAAAGCATTATCAGTGATTTTTATTATTTACTTGTCATTGGAGGGCTCAGCTCTTAATTTTTAATTTGAAAGTCACTAATAAACAGGAACTATCTTTCAAAGGATATATGTAAGTAATTTTTTCAAATGTAACTATTTTTTTTAAATTGTGGTAAAATACACATATTTTTTAAACCATTCTCAAGTGTACAAGTCAGTGGCATTACTTTCACGATGTTAATTATCTTTACCCAAAATCTTTTTATCATATCCAACAAAAACTCTGTACCCATTAACCAATAACCCACCCCATGCCTAGTCAACACTATTCTACTCTATCTCTAGGAATGTGCCTTTTCTAACTATCTTGTGTAAGTAGAATCGTACGATATTTGTCCTTTCGTGTCTATTTCACTAAGCCTGATGTTTCTAAGGTACATCTGTCTTTTACTGTATGTCAAAATTTCACTCCTTTTTGTAGCTGAATAAAATTCCATTGTATGTGAGTTATATCTATCTATCTATCTATCTATCTATCTATCTATCTATCTGAATAATATTCCATTGTGTGTGACACACATCCGCACACCGCCACACCCCCACACCTTCCACATTTTGTTTATTCATCTGTTGATGGACACTTGCATTGTTCTCACCTTTTGGCTACTGTGAATAATGCTGCTGTGAAGGTTGGCATATAGATCTCTCTGTTTGAGTCTCTGCTTTCAGTTCTTCTGGATATATACCTGGGAGTAGATTTCCTGGATTGATATGGTAGGCCTATATATACCTGGGAGTAGATTTCCTGGATTGATATGGTAGGCCTATAACTTTTTGAGGAGCTGCCAAAGTGTTCTCTGTGGTGGCTGCAACCACTTTACATTGCTACCAGCAGCGTATGAGGGCTCTAGTTTCTTCATATCCTTACCAACACTTCTATTTGTGTTTTTTAATCATAGCCTAATAGGTGTGAAGTGGTATCTCATTGTGGTTTAATTTGCACTTCACTAATGATTAGTGATGTTGAGCATGTTTTATGTGCTTATTGGCTGTTTTTGAAGAAATGTCCAAGTCCTTTGCCCATTTTTGTTTTTTATTGCTTTGAGATGGAGTTTTGCTCTTGTTACCCAGGCAGGAGTGCAATTGGTACCGTCTTGGCTCACTGCAACCCTCCTCCTCCCAGGTTTAAGCGATTCTCCTGCCTCAGCCTCCCAAGTAGCTGGGATTACAGGCATGTGACACCATGCCTGGCTAATTTTGTATTTTTAGTAGAGATGGCGTTTCACCATGTTCATCAGGCTGGTCTCGACCTGCTGACCTCAGGTGATCCACCTGCCTTGGTCTCCCAAAGTTTTGGGATTACGGGCATGAGCCACCACATCTGGCCGTTTGCCCATTTTTGAATTGAGTTTTTTTGTTTTTATTGAGTTGTAGTAGTATGTTAGTCCTTATCAGTTATATGATTTACAAATATTTTCTGCAATTCTGTTAGTTGCTTTTCACTGTCTTGATACTGTCCTTTGATGTAAAAACATTTTAAATTTTCTTTTGTTGTCTGTGCTTTTGGTGTCATGTCTGAGAAATTGTTGCCAGATCCAGTGATACATACCTTTTCGTCTGTGTTTTCTTCCAAGAGTTTAGGCCTTTATGTTTAGGTTTTTGTTCTATTTTAAGTTAATTTTTGTATATGGCATAAGGTTAGGGCAAATTTTATTTCTCCTCTTGTTTTGTTTTGAGTTGGTCTCGCTCCCACCCAGGCTGGAGTGCAGTTGCATGATCACAGCTCAGTGCAGCCTTGACCTCCCCAGACTCAGGTGATCCTCCTACCTCAGACTACTGAATAACTGGGACTACAAGTGTGTGGCACGACACCTTGCTAACTTTTGTATTTTTTGTAGAGATGGGGTTTCACTTTGTTGCCCAGGCTGGTCTTCAACTCCTAGGCTCAGACTGCCTGCCCCAGCCTCCCAAAGTGTAATATGGTCCAGCATAGGTATTGAGAATGATTTGTTTGACTTCACCTTTTTTGTAAAACATTCCTTAAAGAGCTTGTTTTAGTATTTTGTTATTTAAAGTTACAATTAGAGGCTGTCAGTACCTTTTATTCTTGTAGATTGAATTGCTTTTTAGTAACTAAAGAATGAATGTTCAATTTTTATGCCCTTATTTTTGGTTTTTCTTTCCTTCTTTTTTTTATTTTTGAGACAGAGTTTTGCTGTTGTTACCCAGACTGGAGTGCAATGGCACGATCTCGGCTCACCGCAACCTCCGCCTTCTGGGTTCAAGCAATTCTCCTGCCTCAGCCTCCCGAGTAGCTGGGACTACAGGCGCACACCATCACGCTCAGCTAATTTTTGTATTTTTAGTAGAGACGGGGTTTCACCTTGTTGACCAGGATGGTCTCGATCTCTTGACCTCATGATCCACCCGCCTTGGCCTCCCAAAGTGCTGGGATTACAGGCGGGAGCCACCGTGCCCGGCCTGGTTTTTCTTCTTTTACCTAAAGAGCCCATTTGGGGATCTTTTCACTGTAATTGTGTTATGCTTTTGCTTTCCCAGGTGCTTAGCTGAGACTTTGAATTTCTAGAAAACTCTATGACTTCATGGTGATATGTCATTGTATTTTAATAGCCTTTTCAGGTAATTTTGGATATTCTTATATATACAGTACTACCCCAGAACTCAAGATATGGGAGTTTCTTAGTTGCAACTTGGAATCTAAAACCATGCCAGTAACCTTTTATACCATTATATTAAGATCTGTTGCTTTGTTTTACATTTTGAATGGGTGTTTACCCATACATGCTTTGTAACATCGTACACTGGTCACTTGCAAAATACTGGTAACAATAAATTATGCACATCTTTCAAATGATGACACATTTCATTATACAGTATCAAAAAAAAAAACATTAATATCACTGCCAAATTCAGAAAAGTTTGTAAGTACTGGGAACGTGTGAAGTTAACAGTGTTAGATATAAGTTCTCTAAAAGTCGTTTTTGCTTGAAAGTTCAATTTTTTTTTTTTTAATTGGAAGCAAATACTTCAAGGAAAACAACTGGCAGTGACAGATTTACTGTTTGTTTTTGAGAAAATACCTGCCACATTCCCACGTTTGAATCAGCATAGTTTGTCAATCTTTCCAGTAAAGAACGATGTTTGAGGCTGGCTGTGGTGGCTCATGCCAGTAATCCCAGACTTTGGGAGGCCAAGGCAGGTGGATCATGAGGTCAAGAAATTGAGACCATCCTGGCCAACATGGCGAAACCCTCTCTCTACTAAAAATACAAAAAATTAGCTGGGTGTGGTGGTGTGTGCCTGTAGTTCCAGCTACTCAGGAGGCTGAGGCAGGAGAATCGCTTGAACCTGGGAAGCAGCGGTTGCAGTGCGCTGAGATCACGCCCCTGCACTCCAGCCTGATGATGGAGTTAGGCTCTGTCTCAAAAAAGAACGATGTTTGAGAAAAAAGTAGTTTGTTTGGCTTGCAACTTAAACAGTGGTGCTTTTTCCCTCCATACAACCACTATGCTTTGTATGCAGCAGCAGTGTTTTATGCATACTTGTTTTGTCACAGAAATTATTAGTATATTCAGCGGTAGAGATTTAATAAAAATAATCGTTTTTATTCCTTCGTTAAGGGCTTTCAGTGAAACTGACATTTTACGTTTTGACTGCTACATAGTATGTAGCAGTTCAGAGATCCTACCTTGATTCATGCCAAGGCACCAGCAATTTTACCTATCCATACGAATGTCAGTGCAGTAAAAAAGCCAAATAACATCTTTTGATTTTTTTTTTTTTTGGACAGTCTCGCACTGTTGCCCAGGCTGGAGTGCGGTGGTGCAATCTTGGCTCACTGCAACCTCCGCTTCCGGGGTTTAAGTGATTTTCCTGCCTCAGCCTCCTGAATAGCTGTGACTACAAGTGTGTACCACTACTCTGGCTAATTTTTTGTGTTTTTAGTGGAGATGAGGTTTCACCGTATTAGCCAGGATGGTCTTGATCCCTGACCTTGTGATCTGCCTGTTTCGGCCTCCCAAAGTGCTGGGATTACAGGTGTGAGGCACAGTGCCTGGCCTAAAAAAAGTTTTTGAGACATAGTCTTGCTCAGTTGCCCAGGCTGGAATGCAGTGGCGTGATCTCAGTTTATTGTAACCTCTGTCTCCCAGGCGCAAGCAATTCTCCTGCCTCAGCCTCCTGAGTAGCTGGGACTACAGGCGACCACCATGCCTGGCTAATTTTTTGTATTTTTAGTAGAGACAGGGTTTCATCATGTTGGCCAGTCTGGTCTCGAACTCCTGGCCTCGGGTGATCTGCCTGCCTCGGCCTTCGAAAGTGTTGGGATTACAGGTGTGAGCCAATGCGCCTGGCCCAATCTTTTTTTTTTTTTTTTTGAGATGGAGTCTTACTCTGTCGCCCAGGCTGCAGAGTGCAGTGGTGCAGTCTCAGCTCACCACAGCCTCCTCCTCCAGGTTCAAGCAATTCTCCTGCCTCAGCCTTTTGAGTAGCTGGGATTAGAGGCACCTGCCACTGCACTGAGCTAATTTTTGTATTTTTAGTAGAGACAAGGTTTCACCATCTTGTTTAGTAGGTTGGTCTCCAACTCCTGACCTCGTGATCCACCCACCTTGGCCTCCCAAAGTGCTGAGATTTACAGGCGTGAGCCACAGCGCCTGGCAGCCCCATCTCTTAAAAAAAAAAATGTAGTTGGGCATGGTGACTTGTCTGTAGTCCCACATAATTGGGGACTGAGGCAGGAAGATCACTTGAACCCGGGAGTTCAAGGCTGCAGTGAGCCATGATCACAGCATTTCACTCCAGCCTGAGCAACAGAGTGATACCCTGTCTTTTAAAACTAAATAAATAAATGAAAATTTGAAATATGCGGAAAATGTGAAAGAGCAGTAAAATGAATACCCATGTCCCTCTGCCTAGATTGCTTTCCAATTAACATTTTGACCATAATTGTACATGGTCTCTTCTCTCTATGTATTTATTGTATGATGTGTAATA